GAACTTTTAGAATGACAGTGACTTAAGTGCAGGGATGAGTGTTACACCTGTTTAAGGGTAGCACCTGGGCGCATAATATGTGCTCAGTAAATATTTAGTGCTCACTGGAAGTTGAAAGACGATTTTAGGAGGAAAGTTGCACGGAGGCCTTCGAGTTTAATTTGCTAATAGAAATTTTTCTAGAGGTTTAATTGTAAGAATTATTTGGCTCAATTTAATTGAATGAAGGTAAAGAGATATAAATAAGCCTGTTGTCTCAAATCCATACGTTTGAAAGTTCACATTGTCTGCATCCCCATTCTGTGCACTTACTCTTGAGTGATTAACAAAAAGTATTTAAGAAGTGTCTCCAGAATCAGCAGTGTCTGGTGCATGATGTCATTGATTTATTTAAATGAGTGCTGTTCTGGGGAACGGAAAGAAAGAAGGGAGGGAAAAAAACGTACAAAGTACTGAGAATTGGTGTGAAGTGCTGCAGCCAAATGTCTGCAGGACACTGGAAGGCAGTACTTTTGTTTACCACAGTCTGTTGAATTGAACAACTATTTACTGAGTGCTTTTTCTGGCACTGTGGATGCAGGTAGAGGAACAAGACAGGCCTAGTTTCCCCGAAGAGTTGAGCAGATCTGTAACCATCCCGTAAACATTCCTCCTCCCGGTATGACTGGCAGAAGAGTTCCGGGTTTGCTTCCAGGGGGACTGAGGCAATGACTGGAGAAAGACTGAGAATGGGGACTAAAGCTAGTCATGATGAACTTGTGATTTCCGACTTCGAGTGGCATTGTTTGCATCTTCATTTTTGGAGTTGGCAATCCCCCTCCATGGTCAGAGAAGCTTAGTTAATGTATGTGCATAAATATATTTTTGAGTGTTATTGAAATTACAGTTGTACTACATGAGGTATTTGATATAGTATTCTTCCTACACAGGAGCTCTGGTGGCACAGTAGTTAAAGCACTCTGCAGCTAACTGAAAGGTTGGCAGTTTGAACCCACAACCGCTCAGCAGGAGAAAGATGTGGCAGTCTGCTTCCATAAAGATTTACAGCCTTGGAGACCCTATGGGGCAGTTCTACTCTGCCCTTTAGGGCCTCTATGAGTCTGAATCGACTCTACAGCAGTAGGTTGGGTTTATTCTTCCTACTGAGCTCCAGTTTGGGATTAACAGCTCATTGAAAAATATTATTACATAAATAATGTAAGAAGCACTAATGACTAGATACTGCACAATAAAATAGCATTTAAATTAGCTACTGTTTTAGATACCAGCTGATACATTTTTGAAGTGTTTCGATTAAAATAAAACTATCCTCATGAATTGTATATATCAAAGGTGTTACAGTAATGTTTTTATTGTACCATTAAACTAAAATTCATCCTTGTTGAGATGTAAGATAGACCCCCTACTACTTATAAAAACGTATTAAGATGTTGGTTTATTATATAGCATTATAATAATATTAGGTATCTATCTGAAACTATTGAAGTAACAGTGCACTTACCTTTTTTTTTTTTTTAAAAAACAGCAACAGTATCAAAGTGCTCTATTTTGGGCAGATAAAGTAGCTTCGCTCTCTCATGGTAAGTGACAAATGCTGGGTTTTGTTTTGTTTTGTTGTTTTTTTCCCCCGATTTCCCTAATCTTTAAAAGTCGTTCTATTCCGCCCCGCACTCTGACCGTTGATGTGATTTCTCCAGAGGAGCCTCAGGACATTTATTGGCTGGCTCAGTGTCTTTACCTGACAGCGCAGTATCACAGAGCCGCTCATGCGCTTCGGTCGCGAAAACTAGACAAAGTAAGTAACTATGAGCTTCAAAGGTTTTTAATGCTTTGAAAAAAATGACATTAGATTAGCCCTACCGGTATGTTCTTTTATGTCAAGATTATTTAAAAGGCTATTCATTTTTACATATTGAATGTGAAAAGAAAATTTTCTTATTCCTAATCTTGCTCACCTTGCTTTGTCCTCTCCCACCTCTAGTTGTTAAATTCTAAAAATTCTGTTTTCCTAAGTAGCTCTGAGTCATGGATAGCCCTTTCCATTCACATGCATGTCACTGCATATCAGGCCTTCAGTTTCTCTACTCTGTTGTTTGTCTCTGTTCTCCAGCTCAGTCTTTCCCCCTTCTCACCTTCCCTGTCTCCGGTTCATCTTCCAAATTATCACAAGGATGATCCTCCTAAAAGACGGGCCTGATTGGATCACTCACAACATTGTTCGTTGATTTCCCATTACCTACAGGAGAAAGTCAAAATGCGTTAATAGACACACAAGGTCCTTTATGGAGCCCTGGTGGCACAGTGGTTAAGAGCTCAGCTGCTAACCGAAAGGTCGGCGGTTCAAATCCACCAGATGCTTCTTGGAAACCCTATGGGGCAGTTCTGCTCTGTCCTATAGGGTCACTGTGAGTCAGAATTGACTCAACAGCAAGGGTTTTTTTTTTTTTGCGTAAGGTCTTCTATGATTTCCCTCTGTCCTGGACATACATAGCACGTACTTCAGCCTTGCTGAGCCCCACAGTTCCTTACACACGTGACAGTTTCTCATACTCAGTGCCTGAGATGCTTCCCATCCCTGGAATGCACTGCCTGACAAACTTCTCCTTTTCCGAGGCTCAGCCAGAATATGACCGTGTAGCCTTTCCTGACTTCTCCTCGCTTATGTCATCCCTGCACGTTTCCTTCTTCACTTTGCTGGCACTTTTTATGTTCTTCTTTCACAGTGCTTACCCCATCGCAATGCGTTTATGTCTCCCCTACTGTAACCTCCTTGAGGCCAGGTCCTTACTCCTTTTTGACTCCTCAGTGCCCATTAAACAGTAGGTTCCTGGTGGATATGAGTTATAGAGACAGGATTTTTTTTACTGCAAGACTCAAAGGAGAAATTATGAAAATAATTCTCTTCATTTCATGCTTATAGTATTTTAAAGTGAAGATGCATATTATCTTGACCACTTTTTAAGAATTACTTATTTTCGGTGAAAGTATGCATAGCAAAACATAGACCAATTCAACAATTTCTACATTTACAACTTGGTGGCATTGATTACATTCTTCAAGTTGTGTAACCATTCTTGCTATCCTTGTCCAAATTATTCCACCACCATAAGCTCAACCGCTCGCTAAGCTTCTCATCTGACCTTTCCAGTTGCTGTCGTCAGTTTGATCACATACAGATAATTCTTTAAAAGAGCACAATGCTCAAGGCAGACCTTCTTTTCTAATAAAGCTAAACTATTGTTTGGTTTAAAGATGACTTCAAGGGATCATTTTGGTGGAGCACTTTTTTAATAGATTATTTTTTTTCCTAGTTATATGAAGCATGCCGATACCTTGCAGCTCGATGTCATGTAAGTATACACTCCATTTCATGTGTATCTGTGAAAGTTTAATTCTATGCATCCCTCATGTATTTGTGAGAAATTTTGTAATGGAGCTAGGCAAGTTAATAAAATATCTCATGAGGAAATGTTCTTTTCTTTAGGATTACTTGCTATAAAATATTGATCTTCCATTTACTAAAAGCTGACATGCATGGAAAAGTTCTGCTTTAAACATTTTTAATTTAAGTAAAGACTGGGTCTAATATTTATTACTCATTTAAAATCTGGAGCTATATGTGTATATTTCATGTTGGAAGTCATGGGTGATGAACAGTATTTCTATTTTTCTGCATAGTATGCTGCAAAAGAGCACCAGCAGGCTCTTGATATCCTGGATATGGAGGAACCAATCAACAAAAGATTATTTGAAAAATACTTGAAGGATGAAAGTGGCTTGAAAGACTCTTCCAGTGACTGGGAAATGTCACAGTCTTCAGTAAGTAATTATGATCTAAAATACCAATCCTTAGAATCAGAAAGAATGTTAGCATGCTTTAGTAACATCAGAAAGAACTGCCTACGTTACATAGCAAAAGCAAATGACCTTTTTTTAGTTGAGTATAACCATATTAAAACAGTATGGTTGCCAGTTTATTTAATTTGACCACCAAAAAGCAAAAGATTACAAGATACCTCTGAGCTATTATTTGAAGCTGCAGTTATATCCTCAGACTGCCTGAATCTAAAATAGGTTGACTTAGGATCTTCCATCTTATATTCCACACCTTAGTGAAACTACTCCCAACAGGTGGAAAAATTTTTCCTTCTCACTGTGTTTCAACAGTGCTTGGACCTTCCCCCTTAAATCTTCTTGATTAGTTTAAATTGTCTCTTTCTTCCCAGGGAATGGTTTGGTGTTATTATTTACCATGTAGTACATTGTTTGTTATTTTACTTTGTGTAGTTCAGTTTGTATACATATTTTTGTGAAATTGTAAATTTCTTGAGTGCAGAGATTGTATAATGTAACAGGAAATGACATGCATAGTCATATCACTAATCTTACTGTTATTCTTTTTTTTTATTGTTGTAGTTTAAGTGAAAATTTACAATTTAAGTTAGTCTCTCATACAAAAATTTATACATACGCTGTTATGTGACCCTAATTGCTCTCCTTATACTGTGACAGCACACTCCTCCTTTCCACCCGATTCCCCATGTCCATTTGACCAGCTCCTAACCCTCTCTGCATTCCCATCTCACTTCCAGACAGAAGCTGCCCATTTAGTCTCTTGTATCTAGTTGAGCTAAGAAGCACACTCTTCACAAGTATCATTTTATGTCCCACAGTCCAGTCCAGTCTTTGTCCAAAGAGTTGGCCTCGGGAGTTGTTTTAGTTCTGGGTTGACAGAGAGTCCGGGGGCCATGCTTTCCGGGATTCCTCTATCGACTGTTACTCTGTTTAAGCAGCTGTATTGAAATATAATTCACACACCATGCAATTTATTCATTTAAAGTATGTAGTTCAGTGACTTTTGGTGTATTACCAGAGTTATGCAGTCATTGCCACTGTCAATTTTAGAACGTTTTTGTCTCCTGGCTGTTCCTGCCCCCCCCTCCCCCCATTCTCCCATCATCCCAGTTATTCTTTAGAACATACTTATGAGGGAACTTGCTTGCTCTGCTTTTCACCTCAAAAAGGTAGGAATTCTACACTTCCTTAGGTTTTGTTTTTCTTTTTCTTTCTTCTTTTGACTTCTCATCCACGAATTCAAGTGCTGAGAAACATGAATTTTTCTACTGGGAAATGCAGTTGTGAGACAGCTTAATTGCTGTGTTTTTCACTTTAATAAGGAATACGTCCTTATTACATTTGGACTGTTCACTGCTAAGAAGTACGTGATTTATTTGTAATACTTTATTTATTTATTTTTTTTTTTGCAACTCAGAGATCTAATATTCTCTCCTAATGTCCTCCATTATTTTGTAAATTTTGATTTTTATGATGAATTTCCCTAATCCCCTTAATCATCTGTTGCCCAGCTCTGGATCATCTCTAAACTCAACTATTTGTTTGTTGAGGTTTAGAGTCTTGAACTTGTCAGATTTCCGTGTCCTACTGTTAATAGTGGTAGCAAGATAGCTACCTTACTGTATGCTGGAGCCCTGGTGGCACAGTGGTTAAGTGCTCGACTGCTAACTGAAAAGTCGGTGGGTCGCACCCACCAGCTGTTCCATGGGAGAAAGATGTAGCAGTCTGCTTCCATAAAGATTTCAGCCTTGGAAACCCTATGGGACAGTTCTATTCTGTCATATAGGGTCACTATGAGTCAGAATTGACTCGACAGCAACAGATTTGATTTTGGTTTGGTTTTACTATGTGCTAACCCTATACAGATGTTATCATATTTAATCCTCACAGGAGCCCTGTAAGTTAGATAGTATTTTCTCCTTTTTATAGATGAGGAAAATGAAGCCAAGAGGAGTTAAATAACTTGTCCAAGATCGCTAGTAAATGACAGTCAGGATTTGAACTCAGGTTTGTCCGATTCCAGAAAGCCATGCTCCATTGCCTCCAGTTTTCTGATATGTACACTGAGACCCTTTCATTGGGATCTGTCTGTCAAACTGTCTCTCTCAAAGTTTGAGTTAATATATAGCCTCTGTTTGCTGTCTCTAAATCATTACCCTGTTTGGAATAAGACAAATAATCAACCTAGTAGCCATAGTGTGTCTATAGGCTATAAAGATTTGTTGGAATAAAGGAATCAGAGCCCAGAGAAGATAAATTAGAGAAGTGTTCTGTTTTGCTTTCATGCTTTTATTAATTATACTGTACTTTGGCAGTTGGCTTGAACCAGATCCTTTTAGATGTGGAAAAAAAAAAAAACTTTTCAGTATTTGTATAATTTATAATTTTTAATCAAAAATTAAGTTTAAAAGTATTGACTTAGTATATAACTTGTCTCTTTCCAACAGATAAAGAGTTCTATTTGTCTTTTAAGAGGGAAAATCTATGATGCTCTAGATAACCGAACCCTAGCTACCTACAGCTACAAAGAAGCTTTGAAGCTTGATGTGTACTGTTTTGAAGCATTTGATCTTTTAACGTCACACCACATGTTGACAGCACAAGAAGGTTTGGAAACTAAGGTGTTCTTATGTTTAGCACGATCAATAGTGTTTGGATTGTTCTTTCTCTGAAATCTGTAGAATCAAGGGCAGGCTATACACAGGTTTAAATAGACCTATTAACTTTCTTAATGCTTTCAAACATGAAGCATATTGCAAAATGCAGTATTGTACACTGCCTCTTATTACCAAAATCCTTAGGGACTGCAAAGTGATCAGATCACCTTTTTGAGAAGTGATTTAAGGTAGTATAAGTGAAGATTTCAGTGTCAAGATTTCAGTGATTCTCAACCTGGCTGCACTTTAGAATCCTTGAGGAGCCTTAAAAACATATCAGTGTCTAGGCCCCAACTCCAGACCCACTGAATCAGAATTTCTGGAGGTGGGGCCCTGGCATCAGTAGGGTTTAAAGGTCCCCAGATAATCCTGATGTACAGCGAGGGTTGAGAACCACTCATCTAGTATGTTTGCAGTGATTTGGAGGGGGGTAAATGAGAAAAACAAACAGAAAATGTGGTTGTTGTATTAACGGGATTTGAGCATATCTTTACCTAGTGCAGTGGTTCTCAATCCAGGGTGATTTGTCCCCAAGAGGACATTTGACAATGACTGGAGATAAATTTGGTTGTCACAACTCGAGGGCAGGAGAGTGGTAGGTTGCTGTTGGCATCTGCGGGCGGAGGCCGGAGATGCTTCTAAACATCCTATAATGCAGAGCGAGAGGACATACCCCTAAAATAAAGAATTATCTGGCCCAGAATGTCAGTAGTGCTGAGATTAAGAAACTGTGGCCTAGTTCTCCATTCTGGGGAGGATTAGAGTCACCTAGAAGCTGCTTGGGCCACAGCCCTAGAAAAGCTGCCTCGGCCCTCTGGGTGATTCTCATCACCCCCATGTACGAACCACTCTCCTAGTTTTCTCTAGTACATTTTGATCTTGTTATTTTCTCTTTCGAGTATGATTTGCTTAGACCACAAATTATAGAAGAATGTTTTTAATTGCTGAAGTTTTTTTTCTCCCATACATATTGTGAGGACATTCTCTCTCTCCTTTTTTATTTTCACTTTTAAGAAAAAGAGCTTCTTGAATCACTACCTCTTAGCAAGCTATGTACTGAAGAACAGGAATTGCTACGTTTTCTGTTTGAGAACAAATTAAAAAAGGTAAGTGGAAACAGAAGTTAATGCTTTATTTATTTTATTTATTCTATTAAATTTGACCTCCATTTTATTTTTACTAGTTTATCAAGTAAGGTGTTCTCCCATTGCTAATCTTAAATTGTTTAGAAGTAGGAGTTAGTAATAATATGATAGGAAGGCTTACTTTGTCCAGAAATGTTAAAATTAATTTTTTATTAATTTAGCACGTGGAAGAATATTACAGGTAGATTATATGAAATAGGTGATGTGATTCGAAAACAGCTCCCAAAAACATTTGCCTTCCTCACAAGGACTCCTTGTACTAAAAGATTGAATTATCAAGTAAATGGAGCGATGTTGCGTTAAAGGAGGATTTCCTTTTATACTTCCTGAAATTCGACCTATTGAGAGTACTGATGAAACTCAAGGTTAAAAAGTTTTCAGAGGCTCACACATGTCCTTGTGTAAATCCTTTAAACACCAGAACCAAGCACAGATTGACGCTGCCTTTTGATTTGTCATTGCTCCTTTAGTTTACATTTGAATTTCTCTGTTTCAGTATAATAAGCCTAGTGAAACCGTCATTCCTGAATCTGTAGATGGCTTGCAAGATAATCTGGATGTGGTAGTATCTTTAGCTGAAAGACATTATTATAACTGTGATTTTAAAATGTGCTACAAGCTTACTTCTGTGTAAGTATATACAAACATTTTTGTGTAAGAACATAAAGAGTTTAGTACATCTTACCTATGAAATACACTGACGTGCTCTTTGAATATTCTCCTATGAGTTGATTATAATTTAAGTTGCCTTTACTGTTTGCAGAGTGCTCGACAGTGTGGTGTCTTCAAAGAGCAATTTTATAGGTCCATGCGTATTTGTAGGTTATTACATTAACTTGGGAAGGATATACAAGTCCTTCTTCCCACTCTTTGAGAATTTGCAGATTTGAAAATACCATTTTATCATATAGTTTTATAAATAAATACTTTATTAAACTACAGACTGATAAAATCCAGTAGTTACTGGGTACCCAGTCTGGCACATTCAGTAGCTAAATGATCTCCTGCACAGACCAGTGCATATCATTCAAACTCATCCTTTAGCAAAATTACATCTACTATTTTATGTGGCTCTTTGGCGTTGCTTAAAATCCTTGAAGTTAGAAACGTTTTAATTAGCAAATACTTCTGATCTATTTAATATTTCATAATGTTTTTTGATCCTTTTAAATAATTGGACTGCTTATTACATGTATTATAATTCTGTTGATTTAAAGAAAATGTATGTGATAATGCACCACTTATTATTCCTTGTATACAAAACAGAATTTTCCCTTTCGTTTATAACCTAATCCTTGCCTTAGTTGAACTAATCTGAAAATAATTGAGTTAAGAAAGTAAGAAGTATTATAACCCATAGTGTTATACATAATGCTGTAATGATTATTTAAACATAGCAGATTTTTCTGAGTGCAGTATTGTATGTTCTGCGGGTAGTAATGCATTGCTTTAACTTTCAGAGTCATGGAAAAAGATCCTTTCCATGCCAATTGTTTACCTGTACATATAGGGACACTTGTGGAACTGAATAAAGCAAATGGTAAGAATTTGTTTTTAAATTCAAATAATAATTTTTAGACATAAGAAAGTTCCAGTAACTCTCAAAATTTTGGCTCGCAAATCCTGGGTAATTGAAATTCCATAATGGAGTTCTAAAATAAAAGTAACAAATGGGAGAAGAAGTACTTAACAAAATGACAACTATCTATTCTGTTATTCCAACAGAATGCTTTATTTCTTTATCCTTGCTTCCTGCTTCCTTTTCCCAAAAATAATTTGTGGTTCAAGGTATGTTAGCTTTGAAGTAGAGTGTTGGGTGTTACCTTTGCCTTTTGCCTTTTTTTTGGTAAGTTCTGTAAGAAGAATGATATGACAGGAGTCAGTAACTCTTTAGAAATTGGAAGGGGGCCGGTTTTTTGCTCGTGTTTTCCGTATTTTCACATTTCAGAAACATTTAGTTGTGTTTGGGCTGTATTCACTCTTAAATCTTTGTGAATTGTGTAAGAGTTTACTCAGTTTGAACTCCAATTTCCTCTGCTCAAAATGTGGTCCGTGGACCAGCAGCATCACCATCTCCTGGATGCTTGTTGGAAATGCAGAATCTCCAGCGGCTCCAGCTCTACTGAATTTGTATCTGCATTTTAGCATAACATCTTTAGGTGATGCTAATGTTCGAAAAGAACTATTCTAAACTTAGGGTGTTGTACTGAGTAATAATGGAAGCTTAACTTCCAGTACACTTGCCTATAAGAACTGTGATCGTGAGATGCTAGGATTTACACATTTCTCAAGAGGAAATAATTTTGTTACTTTGATGAACATGTAGATTTGATCAGCCAAACTGGTTGTGGGTGGTTAAGATGGTCCATATTAGGCCCATGGAATAAGAAACGTAAGTTTCTAAGATTGGTGTGGAGCTTTGGAATAAGCTCTTAAGCATCGTAAAGTGCTTTGTTAAGGGGTGTCTGTTCTCACATTGCACACTATTTGCCATTCATTCAGGTTTTCAGGCTCTCAACAAGTACTCAGTACTTAGCGTCCAGCAACTGATAAGATGTTTGAAACTAAACAGCCATGGTATCTGCCCAGTAGAACTTCTGTAGTCCATTAATTAAATGGCTTTGTATCTAGAAGGAAGAAAAATATGAAATCATTGCTATGAGAACAGAATTTGCTGTAATTGTAAAGAGTTGTAACTAGGGAAAAGTAGTATATTAAAATGCATTTGACATGAATAATTTTTGTTTTTTTCTTTTCTTTCTCCCTAAATATAGAACTTTTCTATCTTTCTCATAAACTGGTGGATTTATATCCTAGTAATCCTGTAAGTAGCATGAATCTTTTTTTGTTTTTAACCTGAATTTAAGAAAACATTTAACTAGTGGTTAGACCAACCCAAACCCATTGCCATCAAGTTGATTCCAACTCATAACGACACTATAGGACAGAGTAGAACTGCCCCATAGGGTTTCCAAGGCTATATTTTTACAAAAGCAGACTGCCACGTCTTTCTCACACAGAGTGGCTGGTGGGTTCAAACCACTGACCTTTTGGTTGGCAGATGAGTGCTTTAACCACTGCGCCACCAGGGCTTCAGTAGTCAGTAGCTTATATTCAAGTTCAAGGAAGAATATTTTATTTTAAAGTGTTGGAACAGATTCTCCTAGTGTTTAGGATACTTAGAAAGCATCACTAATCTTTTCTCAAACAAAAAAAAAGTACATGAAAGTACTTTTTTAGTACACTGAAGTGGTAACCTAAAACAAAATCCTTATTATTTTCTGATTATAGAAATTATACATGCTTTTTATTTTAAAATACTTAGCATACAGAAATGTGTGATACTGGAAGTGAAAGTCTCACTCCCATTTCTCATAAATAATGCTAATTATTTGGTAGCTTTCTCTCATTGCATATATAAAATTACTTAATGAATTGTGCACTGATTGAAATCAGTGTGTCTTCCACACTGCCGTGTTCAGAACTGAGAACTAGAAATTGAAAATGTAACCAGGGACTGAGTCCTTAGAAGAGAGGGACCAGGGTCTAGGTCTTAGACAAGACAGTAATTTGCACCCTAGACCACTATGAAAATCATTTATAAGGGAATGAAACCAGTACAGAAGTTAGCTGAACAAAAAGCAGAATCCAGAGGCAGAGGGAAAAGGTAGAACAAAGATCGACAAATAGTGTTAGGTGGAAGGCCAGGACTCACAGAGTGATTTTTCAGTTATGAAGTCCTCAGATACTTTTCATGTATCAAATGCTAACAGTACATGATTGAGGGCACCTTGAGAGAAAGCTGAGGAATATCCGTCCTTTTCTCATGGAGGATCCTTAGTGGACAGCCTGTCTCAGAAAAATTTCTAACTTGAGCTAAAACACATGATGTAGAACATTTAATCCACAGTCTGGCCTGATTTGTTGGAGAATTCCAATTCAAGATTAGGCATCTTTGGTCATAGCATATTTTGAACTTTTTAGGTGTCTTGGTTTGCAGTGGGATGTTACTATCTCATGGTTGGCCACAAAAATGAACACGCCAGAAGATATCTCAGGTATGAATTTATTTCCTTCCTCCCCCCTAGTGAACCTGTAGGAAAGAATTTCTTGTTCATCTGCTTTAATGCAGTAATTAGTAAGTACTTATAGAGCACAAAGAAGGCCCTCGTTAAGTGTTTTCTGCTGTTGCTGTTACCAGCATTTATCAATTAGGTTACAAATAGATCTTGCTGTACTAAGTAAATGTTTGTAAGTTCTGTATAGAGTGCTGATGGATTCAGCTGCAGTACTTACAAAGTTATAAACATTTCTCCTAAAAAGTTCTAAAATTTTGCTTGTACTATTAAACTTTTTAGTTCAAATGCATTAACAAAAATGTTACATTTGTGTTTAATATGTTGTCAGCTCCTTTATTTAATTATAATGTCCTGGAGGCCTCTGCTTACCTAAAATGAACTCAACCAATTAAGGATAAATAACTTGAATAAACTCTTTGTTCTAGCAAAGCAACAACACTTGAGAGGACGTATGGGCCTGCCTGGATAGCATATGGGCATTCATTTGCAGTTGAGAGTGAGCATGACCAAGCAATGGCTGCGTACTTCACAGCTGCACAGCTGATGAAAGGGTACGTCAGAAACAAATTGATGAAACTCTGTGAAAGCATTGTTTTACTAACAAAATGAAATTTCGATTATTACTGTCACTGCCATTTGGTTGATAAACTAAACAAATTAAAGACATCTCACTAGCGTCTTGTCTATTAGCTTGTGATTATAAAATAACTATAGAAAAGGGGCGAGGGACTTATATAATCAGTTTGCCTTCCAGTTTATCTCAACCAGAGCATGAAGGAACTAGGAAATTAGGCCAAGGGAAGAGAGGACTACGGAAACCCTTCAGGTCAGCCTCATCCAGCACAACATCTGGGATTTTTCAGGGATAGTTTCTGTTCACTGCTTTTTTTTCTATGTATGCATTGCATTTTCCTGTTTGTGTGTCTCTTTTTTTTTTTTTTTAGTTGAAAACTGGATGTTTTAGAAATAAACGTGGCCACTTGGGAAATCAGATTTTCCCTGCTTTTTAGGGTGTATTGTTGCTACTATTTGTTTGTTGAGTGACTTTCCTAACTAATTCTGGAAAGTCTTTATCCTTTGTCATGTGCAGCACTGAAGTTTTCAGCTCAGTTAACTTAGTGGTCACCTCAGTTATGTTCGTGATTTCCTTGTTGTTGTTAGGTGCCGTTGAGTTGGTTCCGACTCATAGTGACCCCATGCACAGCAGAACAAAACACAACCTGGTCTTGCATCCTTTTCACAGTCATTTCTATTTTTGAGCCCATTGTTGCAGCCACTGTGTCAGTCCATCTCATTGAGGGTCTTCCTCTTTTTTGTGGACCCTCTACTTTACCAAGCGTGATGTTCTTCTCCAGGAACTAGTCCCTCCTGATAACATGTCCAAAGTATGTGAGACGAAGTCTAGTCATCCTCGCGTCTAATGAGCGTTCTGGCTGTACTTCTTCCAAGACAGATTTGTTGGTTCTTCTGGCAGTCCGTGGAATATTCAATATTCTTCGCCTACGACATAATTCAAAGGCATCAGTTCATCTTTGGTCTTCCTTATTCATTGTTCAGCTTTCACATGCGTACGAGGTTATTGAAAACACCATGGCTTAGGACAGGCGCACCTTAATCCTTAAAGTGACGTCTTTGTTTTTAACACTTTAAAGAGATCTTTTGCAGCAGATTTGCCCAATGCAGTATGTCGTTTGATTTCTTCACTCCTGCTTCCGTGGTCGTTGACTGTGGATCCAAGTAAAATGAAATCCTTTACAACCTCAATCTTGTCTGCATTTTTCATGATGTTGTTTACTGGTCCAGTTGTAAGGGTTTTTGTTTTCTTTATATTGAGGTGTAATTCATACTGAAGGCTATAGTCTTTGATCTTCATCTGTAAGTGCTTCAAGTCCTCTTTGCTTTCAGCAAGCAGGTTGTTAATGGGTCTTCCTCCAATCCTGATGCCAAGTTCTTCATATAGTCCAGCTTCTTGGATTTTTTGCTCAGCATACAGATTGAATAAGTATAGTGAAAGGATACAACCTTGATGCTCACCTTTCCTGATTTTATACGACGCAGTATCCCCTTGTTCTGTTTGAACAACTGCCTCTTGGTCTATGTACAGGTTCCCCATAATCACAATTAAATGTTCTGGAATTCCCTTTCTTCACAATATTATCCATAATATGTACAATCCACACAGTCAAATGCCTTAGCATAGTCAATAAAACACAGGTAAACATCTTTCTGGTATTCTCTGCTTTCAGTGAAGATCCATCAGAAATCAACAGTGACATCCCTTGTTCCATGTCCTCTTCTGAAACTGGCTTGAATTTCTGGCAGTCCCCTATTGATGTACTGCTCCAACTGCCTTTGAATGATCTTCAGCAAAATTTTACTGTGTGTGACATTAATGACATTGTTCGATAATTTCCACATTCTGTTGGATCACCTTTCTTTGGAATGGGCACAAATATGGAGCACTTCCAGTCAGTTGGTAACTGTCTTCCTAATTTCTTGGCATAGACGAGTGAGCACTTTCTGCACTGCATCCGTTTGTTGAAACATCTCAGTTGGTTTTCCGTCAATTCCTGGAGGCTTGTTTTTCGCCAGCGCCTTCATTGCAACTTGACCTTCTTCCTTCAGTTCCATCAGTTCTTGATCATGTACTACTTCCTTAAATGGTTGAATGTCTACCAATTCTTTTTGGTACAGTGACTCTGTGTATTCATTCCATCTTCTTTTGATGCTTCCTGTGTCATTTAATATTTTCCCTGTAGACTCCTTCACCGTTGCAACCCGAGGCTTGAATTTTTTCTTCAGTTCTTTCAGCTTGAGAAATGCCGAGAGTGATCTTCCTTTCCAGTTTTCTAACTCTAGGACTTTGCGAGTTTC